TTGGGTGACGCAACAGGACAATGGCCCAAAACACGAAAGTATATCAACAATAGAATGGCTTCAACAGAAGAAAATACGCCTTCTGGAGTGGCGCAGTCAGAGTCCATACCTCAACCCGATTGAGATGCTGTGGCATGACCTCGAGAGCGGTTCACACCAGACATCCCAAGAATATTGCTGAACTGAAAAAGTTTTGTAAAGAGGAATGGTCCAAAATTCCTCCTGACTGTTGTGCAGGTCTGATCCGCAACTACAGAAAACATTTGGTTGAGGTTATTGCTGCCAAAGAAGGGTCAACCAGTTATTCAATCCAAGGGTACACATACTTTTCCCACCCTGCTCTTTGAATGTTTACACAGTGTTCAATAAAGACATGAAAACGTATAATTGTTTGTGTGTTATTAGTTTAAGCAGACTGTGTTTGTCTATTGTTGTGACTTAGATGAAGATCAGATCAAATTTTATGCAGAAATCCAGGTAATTCCAATGGGTTCACATACTTTTTCTTGCCACTGTATATCCATACTATGACCAATAAGCATACTACATACTCAATTTAGGTCACAAATAGTATGGTTAGGGCTGTTAGTATGAGTGTTCGAACACAGCTGTTATTTTTTCAGGAGAATCACATTGAATCAGGTTATTTATTTCAGTACAGTTGAGTTCTTACGCATAACCTAAAGCCTGAACATTTCAGCTATATTTCTGATTGATTTAGCCCACTATCGCCTACAGATTTGATACACATGAAGGCCTATATTTAATCCGGATTTGACAAACAATACCCTGACTAGGATCCTTTGACTTCTCCCCTCAGCCATATTTGTTCCCAATTAGGCTAAATGTAGTCCTATTAATAAGGTTTTAATGTTTTCCGATTAGATTGCATAGGCTAACCATTGTGATTCATTATATTTACTATATTCTGCTTTTTATGATTAAACAGGCATCTGTGATTTTTTTTGTTGATTTGTCGCTGCCCAGCTCTCAAATACCATGCCCCTCTCGCACTCTTATGAATGGTCACTGCTATCCGGATTCCTTGGGACGTCCATACCCTGAACCCTAAACCATAATCCTCACCTAACACTAAACTTAAACATTTTACATTTCTACTTGATTGAGGTAGGGACATCCCAAGGATTCTGAATAGAATGGACCCTCTGGGAAATCCTATGAACTCGTCTCTTCGACTGAAAGTCACGGACACAACTCCTATTGGTTGTTTGATGTAGGCTACTGGGAACTGGTAACAACACAGTTTGTGATTGGCTAACAATGTTTAGATCTGTATACAGCGAGATAAGATAACATACCATCCCATGAGGTGTTGAGGGAAAGCCAGATTGCCTATAGATGGGACATCATCTTTTCTAGGTTGTGATAACAGGAAATACGCATAGCTCAATGTGGCTACATCAGAATGTTGTCTTTCACGGGAAAAACTGTACGTTTCTAACATTTATGGTTGAGATTTAATTCATATAAATATAAACTATGCACCTTATGACTTTCATTAACACGCAGGCATCACGCAGACGTTTGTAAGGCATTGGTATCACGTCATGTCAGTCAGACGTTCAATGGTAGGCGACAGCCATACGGTGGTAGTGTTGCCTAGGCTGAATTCTGGCCTGAATCACTCCCCGTAGGCGTGTGTGATGAGAGAGCATAAATCCACTATTGGCTGAGTCACTTGAGTGAGAGGAGACAGAGAAGCAAGTGCGCATGTCGTGACAACTTTTTATCAGTTGTTGGTAGGCTATTTAGATTGTCATTATATAGACAACTATTTGTTTCCAACCTTTTTTCCATAAAGCATATTAACATGCTAGAACTGATGCCCATCACGAAATAATGGCGACAAAGCACTGGAAAACAGCTTTGGACGCACTAGAGCGCTTTAGATAAATTCCTCAAGAGATGGTTTAAACTCTGTTCTAATGTCGACTTTTCTTATGGAAAGGGTATCAAGCGAAGTGTTTTATGCATGCTCACTGCGTGAGTGGAAATTTGAAATGGAAGGTATGGAACTCCCTTGCGTGCTTCTGTTATGGGGAAAAGTCCTCAATGAAACTGACATTAAATGTGGAGAATGATACATTTGTATCTGTTGGCCATCAAGTAGCCGATTAATTTACATGCCATTTTAGGCTACTGTAGGCTACCATTTGATCCAGTAAATATGTTGAAATGACGATATCACTGGAGTCATTGCAAATCCATTTGTGCCACTTGTGTAGCATACCTGGAGCTGGCAAACGGGTTTAATAAATAGTGTATACCTTCAGTTTATTGTTGTTATAGCCTTGTGTTATTATGCCAAATATTAACGTCCATGTTTAGTTAATTACATTGGAAGTTATCAAAGCTCTATCGCAATTGCCGATCAGTTGTTAGAACACATTAGATTGATGGTAACAGTAAATCAGATTAGGCTACAGGTTAAAAAAAATACACTTGCTGTTGTTGACAAGAATATTTTTTATTTATTTATTTCACCTTTATTTAACCAGGTAAGCCAGTTGAGAACAAGTTCTCATTTACAACTGCGACCTGGCCAAGATAAAGCCAAGCAGTGCGGAAAAAAACCCTACAACACAGAGTTACATATGGAATAAACAAAACGTACAGTCAATAACACAATAGAAAATCTATATACAGTGTGTGCAAATGTAGTAAGTTATGGAGGTAAGGCAATAAATAGGCCATAGTGCAAAATAATTACAATTATAATTTAGTATTAACACTGGAGTGATAGATGTGCAGAAGATGATGTGCAAATAGAGATACTGGGGCGCAAATGAGCAAAACAAATAACAATGTAAATAACAATATGGGGATGAGGTAGTTGGGTGGGCTAATTACTGATGGGCTGTGTACAGGTGCAGTGATCGGTAAGCTGCTCTGACTACTGATGCTTGAAGATAGTGCGGGAGATAAGTGTCTCCAGCTTCAGAGATTTTTGCAGTTCGTTCCAGTCATTTGCAGCAGAGAACTGGAAGGAATGGCGACCAAAGGAGGTGTTGGCTTTGGGGATGACCAGTGAGATATACCTACTGGAACGCATACTACGGGTGGGTGTTGCTATGGTGACCAATGAGCTAAAATAAGGCGGGGTTTTGCCTAGAAGGGATTTATAGATGACCTGGAGCCAGTGGGTTTGGCGACGAATATGTAGTGAGGGCCAGCCAACAAGAGCGTACAGGTCACAATGGTGGGTAGTATATGGGGCTTTGGTGACAAAACGGATGGCACTGTTATAGACTACATCCAATTTGCTGAGTAGAGTGTTGGAAGCTATTTTGGGCAAGTTGCAGCGGAGGGTGCAGAGCTGGTGGCCGGGGTAGGGGTAGCCAGGTGGAAAGCATGGCCAGCCGTAGCAAAATGCTTGTTGAAATTCTCGATTATCGTAGATTTATCGGTGGTGACAGTGTTTCCTAGCTTCAGTGCAGTGGGCAGCTGGGAGGAGGTGCTCTTATTCTCCATGGACTTTACAGTGTCCCAAAACTTTTTGGAGTTAGTGCTACAGGATGCAAATTTCTGTTTGAAAAAGTTAGCCTTTGCTTTCCTAACTGATTGTGTATATTGGTTCCTGACTTCCCTGAAAAGTTGCATATCGCGGGGGCTGTTCGATGCTAATGCCGTACGCCACAGGATGTTTTTGTGCTGGTCAAGGGAAGTCAAGTCTGGGGTGAACCAGGGGCTATATCTGTTCTTAGTTCTGAATTAAGTGAATATAGCCTACATATTATTAATGTTTAATTCAGTGATGGAAATTACGACCCCATCCTCAGTAGCCTATTTCAGCAGGCTATTGGGAAACACAAGCACTTCTTACCTTGAAATCACCTTGCTATTCACGTTGAATAAATAAGCCTGTCATTTTGAACTAATCAAGCTGCTAAATGGTTCAGATAATATCTTGCCTACATCTTGCCTAGGCTACTGTAGACTATCTGAAATTAGATGTAGGCCTATCAGGGGAAAGTTGAATACAATCATAAACCCAGATTTTAGTCTGTAGCCTATGCCTATTGAAATGACAAGTCAATCTCTCGCAAATGGGCCATTTATAACTATTTATAGTCTTAACATCTAGCCATAATAAGGCACAATAGCCTAATCTTCGTTTTTTAAAGTTCGTCCAAGTGTTTCTTGCTCAGAGATTTCGAGATCCTCTGTCCAACTTTCATCACTCAAACTCTCCTGCCGGATCAAATCAAATCAAATTGTATTTGCCACATGCGCCGAATACAACAGGTGTAGACATTACCGTGAAATGTTTACTTACGAGCCCGTAACCAATAATGCCGTTTTAAGAAACATAAGTGTTAAGTAAAAAATACAAATAAAAAATAATTAAAGAGCAGCAGTAAAATAAAATAACAGTAGGGAGGCTATATACAGGGGGTACCGGTACATAGTCAATGTGCAGGGGCACATGTTAATCGAGTTAATTGAGGTAATATGTACATGTGGGTAGAGTTAAAGTGACTATAGTTATGCACATAACTATGTACATATAGTTATGCACATGCGCAAAAGGGATTTCTTTAAAATACCACGGCTAATGGCTGTATCCAGGCACTTCCCTTTTCCTTGTGCCTTATTGCTTAATCATAGCAGTTAAACGATTAAATCGACATCCATTGATGGTTAATGATCTGGCGAGTTTAATAATGGTGAATGATCGTTTATCTTGAGACATATTCAAATTCCTTTATTATGTCACTTCATAGCTCTAATTATTATTTTTGATTAAACAGAATTTTGCTTCTAGCGTTTTTACAAGTTATGTCGATATTCCTTCTTAATTGGCTCGATAACGTTATGGAATAAGGGTTTAGTGTATAAATGTGGCAAGTCATCCCTTGCTGTGTAAAAAAATTGTTGGGCTAGTTTTCAGGCCTTTTGAGTGGGTTATTTGAGTGGTCATTGGGCTAGAAATCGAAGGTAGACCTGGCAATCCTGAATATTTGACGTCATTACGTTAGTGAAGGATTGCGCATTGGTAATCTACCGGTGATGCAAGAAATGTCGTCGAATTGAAGTGAGACTGATCGGGGGATAAAAAAACTTCCTAGATCGTTCTTTCCGCTAACATGTCAGGAGACGAGGTAAACTATTACTTTTTATCATGGTGTATTATCAGTATTGACCGGGGAAAAGGAGATAAACCAGTGACGTTAGTGGCGATCGTTGTTGAATGACTTTGGCCTCAGCCTCCAGTACAAGGCTTTCCCACCAGTATATCAAACGGCAGACCACTCACACATGTTGAGAGCTTGGCTAGTGGGCTAGCTAACTAATGAAAAGATTAATCACGTACTCAATTTAGTGACCAAATGTCAGCTATACTAGGTAGCTAGCTGCAAGTCTATTCCTGTAGCTATTAAAGCTGACCATTATTTAGAATTGGGAAACTTATGTTAGCTGTGTGTGTATGTCAATGTTTTCTATAACTAGTATGTACACATTGTACCAGAACTAGTCTTAGACAGGAAATATAATGTTTATCAACAAACAGCTATTTTTCTTCAATCACACTGGGTCTAAGCTAATCATCATGGTCTAATTCTCCCATCAGATGCTATTCGACCCCAACATGACCAAAAAGAAGAAGAAAAAAAAGAAGCCTTTCATACTGGAAGAAGAAGGTGGAGACGGAGTGGCAGAGGACACACTGCAGGTGGAGGCCAAGGGGGTGGAACCGAACGGTGGGGAGGACAGAGAGTTCGACCTGGACGAGGACGAAGGAAGGAAGAAAGGTAGGAAGGCTCACACCTGACAAAGATCTCAATGGTCTTTCCTCAAATTCTTTGGTCCTCTCCTTCCATCCTTCACTCACTTCCTACTCAAAATGTCAGAGGGAAGTGCGGAGAGGAAACAAGGAACAGAGGAAATGCGAAATGTCCCAGTAGTGACTTTCTGCTCTTCTAGACCAGTAATCTGTCATGATTGGAACGGGGGAGGAACGCAGGAAGACCAATATCAGTAGTGTTCTGATAGGTGATACAGCAGACCATCTTGAATTTACAATATTGTTCAAATCTTTAGAGCAATCCGACAATCTTGATGACCTGAACTTTTTCAACCAGAAGAAAAAGAAGAAGAAGTCCAAGAAAGTGTTTGATAATGACATTGAGGAGGGGATAAAGGTATGTTATATACAGTGCATTCAGAAAGTATTCAGACCCCTTCTTTTACAGCCTTATTATAAAATGTATTAAATATTTTTTCCCCTCATCAATCTACACAAAATACCTCTTAATGACAAAGCGAAAAGAGGTTTTAAGATTTTTTTGCTAATGTTTAAAAAATAAAAAACAGAAATACCTTATTTACATAAGTATTCAGACCCTTTGCTATGATACTCGATATTGAGCTCAGGTCCATCCTGTTTCCATTGATCATCCTTGAGATGTTTCTATAACTTGATTGGAGTCCACCTGTGTTAAATTCAATTGATTGGACATGATTTAGAAAGGCACACACCTGTCTTTATAAGGTCCCACAGTTGACAGTGCATGTCAAAGCAAAAACCAAGCCATGAGGTCGAAGGAATTGTCTGTAGAGCTCCGAGACAGGATTGTGTTGAGGCACAGATCTGGGGAAGGGTACTAAAACATTTCTGCAGCATTGAAGGTCCCCAAGAACACAGTGGCCTTCATCACTCTTAAATAGAAGAAGTTTGGAACCACCAAGACTCTTCCTAGAGCTGGCCACCAAGCTAAACTGAGCAATCGGGGGAGAAGGGCCTTGGTCAGGGAGGTGACCAAGAACAATGGTCACTCTGACAGAGCTCCAGAGTTCCTCTGTGGAGATGGGAGAACCTTCCAGAAGGACAACCATCTCTGAGGCACTCCACCAATCAGACCTTTATGGTAGTTTGGCCAGACGGAAGCCACTCCTCAGTAAAAGGCACATGACTAAAGGACTCTCAGACCATGAGAAACAAGATTCTCTGGTCTGATTAAACCAAGATTGATCTCTTTGGCCTGAATGCCAAGCGTCACGTCTGGAGGAAACCTGGTACCATCCCTACGGTGAAGCATGGTGGTGGCAGCATCATTCTGTGGGGATGTTTTTCTGCGGCAGGGACTGGGAGACTAGTCAGGATCGAGGGAATGATGAACGGAGCAGAGAGATCCTTGATGAAAACCTGTTCCAGAGCACTCAGGACCTCAGACTGGGGAGAAGGTTCACCTTCCAACAGGACAATGACCCTAAGCACACAGCCAAGACAACGCAGGAGTGGCTTCGGGACAAGTCTCTGAATGTCCTTGAGTGGCCCAGCCAGAGCCCGGACTTGAACCCGATCGGACATCTCTGGAGAGACCTGAAAATAGCTGTGCAGTGACGCTCCTCATCCAACCTGACAAGGCTTGAGAGGATCTGCAGAGAAGAATGGGAGAAACTCCCCAAATACAGGTGTGCCAACCTTGTAGCGTCATACAAGGCTGTAGTCACTGCCAAAGGTGCTTCAACAAAGTACTGAGTAAAGGGTCTGAATACTTATGTAAATGTGATATTTCAGTTTTTTTTTAACTGTTTTTGCTTTTTCATTATGGGGTGTTGTGTGTAGATTGATGAGGGGGGAAAAAACAATTTGGTCACTCTGACAGAGCTCCAGAGTTCCTCTGTGGAGATGGGAGAACCTTCCAGATGGACAACCATCTCTGAGGCACTCCACCAATCAGGCCTTTATGGTAGTTTGGAGGGGGGAAAAAACAATTGAATCCATTTTAGAATAAGGCTGTAACGTAACAAAATGTGGAAAAAGTCAAGGGGTCTGAATACTTCCCGAATGCACTGTAATTTACACTGTGTGTTTACCTGGAGTGGAGTCATGTCTATGGGAGCCATATTGACGTGATATTGAAGTTAACAGCCTTGTGTTTATTTCCAAGACTTTGTTGCACCACATTTCTATCTGAATCTCTACTTTGAGCTGAGTCTTGTCACATCTAATTTGCCATTGTATTAAGGTTTGCTGACAGGTTCTCCCAATCTATTAAAAACAGGAGCTGAAAATTGAAGGAGAGCAGAGCGAGGCAGCGGAAGAGGTTGACCTGGATCTTCAGTTGCCAGCAAAGAAAAAGAAGTCCAAGAAGGTCGACTTCCATGAGGAAGGAGAGATAATTGAGAAGGACGATGGTATGGGATTTAATTATTCACATTAGTGACGGGCAGTGTCTTGATCGTCATTGAGATTCTTGCTGGAATGAGAAGCGCTATACAAATTAAATATATTGTTAATATTATTATTATTATTGAATGCTGATATCTGTCTTATACTTTCCTTTCAATTAGTGTAATTGTATCTGTTAAAACATGACCATGTGGTGTTTTTGCTTGAGCTCTTGAGGACGATGCTGGGAAAAACAATAAAGGCATCTCATTCAGCTCCCAGTCTGGTCCGGCGTGGGTAGGGACAGACAGAGACTACACATATGACGAGGTAGGCCTACTTACTTCAATTCAGTTAAGATGATTTTAAATAAAATTGCAAAGGGCATTTGGTTATATTGATTCAAGGCATGCCCCAGCCTCAGGCTGTTTGTCCCTGCAATTCTAGTTGCAACAGTTTGAGAGAGTCTGATGATCATATTGTGATGTCCTCCTCAGCTGCTGAACCGTGTCTTCAACATCATGCGGGAGAAGAACCCTGACATGGTGGCTGGAGAGAAGAGAAAGTTTGTTATGAAGCCCCCTCAGGTGGTCCGAGTGGGCACTAAGAAGACCTCGTTTGTCAACTTCACTGATATCTGTAAACTGTGAGTCAAACATTCTACATACTTTAGGGACTCAAGTTTCTACATCCCACAGGAGAGCTACAGTATATGATGATTGAAGTGTGTTGTTACAGTAGTATTGCTTAGTAGTACATTGCACTAAACTGTCAGTATGAAAAATTTATGCACTCACTAACTGTAAGTCGCTCTGGATAAGAGAGTCTGCTAAATGACTAAAATGTAAATGTATTGTTATGCTAAATGACTAAAATGTAAATTTATTGTTCTCTGTAGGTTGCATCGTCAGCCAAAACATCTTCTGGCATTTTTGTTGGCTGAGCTGGGGACAAGGTAAAGTGGCCTAGTATTATTGTTTTTGCAGATTTCGCAATGGAAATCTTAATATCCAGACTTCTGTTATTAAGTCCTGTTTTTATGAATGACTATTGCATTTATTTTCTTTGCAGTGGCTCCATAGATGGAAATAATCAGCTTGTGATCAAAGGAAGATTTCAACAGAAACAGATTGAAAATGTCTTGAGAAGATATATTAGTAAGTAGGAATTATACAGGAATCCATATTATATTGATGTATTGGTGACCCAGAGCAAAATATGTAAAGAATAGTTATAGATGCATATAATCTAAACTCAGCAAAAAAAGAAATGTCCTCTCACTGTCAACTGCGTTTATTTTCAGCAAACTTAACATGTGTACAATTTTGTATGTACCTAACAAGATTCTCAACAACTGAGACATAAACTGAACAAGTTCCACAGACATGTGACTAACAGAAATGGAATAATGTGTCCCTGAACAAAGGGGGGATCAAAATCAAAAGTTACAGTCAGTATCTGGTGTGGCTACCAGCTGCATTAAGTACTGCAGTGCATCTCCTCCTCATTTACAGCACCAGATTTGCCTGTTCTTGCTGTGAGATGTTACCCCACTCTTCCAACAAGGCACCTGCAAGGTCCCGGACATTTCTGGGGGGAATGGCCCTAGCCCTCACCCTCCGATCCAACAGGTCCCAGAGGTGCTCAATGGGATTGAGATCCGAGCTCTTCGCTGGCCATGGCAGAACACTGACATTCCTGTCTTGCAGGAAATCACGCACAGAACGAGCAGTATGGCTGGTGGCATTGTCATGCTGGAGGGTCATGTCAGGATGAGCCTGCAGGAAGGGTATCACATGAGGGAGGAGGATGTCTTCCCTGTAACGCACAGCATTGAGATTGCCTGCAATGACAACAAGCTCAGTCCGATGATGCTGTGACACCGCCCCAGACCATGACGGACCCTCCACCTCCAAATCGCTCCAGAGTACAGGCCTCGGTGTAACGCTCATTCCTTCAACGATAAACGCGAATCCGACCATCACCCCTGGTGAGACAAAACCGCGACTCGTCAGTGAAGAGCACTTTTTGCAAGTCCTGTCTGGTCCAGCGACGGTGGGTTTGTGCCCATAGGCGACGTTGTTGCCGGTGATGTCTGGTGAGGACCTGCCTTACAACAGGCCTACAAGCCCTCAGTCCAGCCTCTCTCAGCCTATTGCGGACAGTCTGAGCACTGATGGAGGGATTGTGCGTTCCTGGTGTAACTCGGGCAGTTGTTGTTGCCATCCTGTACCTGTCCCGCAGGTGTGATGTTCGGATGTACCGATCCTGTGCAGGTGTTGTTACACGTGGTCTGCCACTGCGAGGACGATCAGCTGTCCGTCCTGTCTCCCTGTAGCGCTGTCTTAGGCGTCTCACAGTACGGACATAGCAATTTATTGCCCTGGCCACATCTGCAGTCATCATGCCTCCTTGCAGCATGCCTAAGGCACGTTTACGCAGATGAGCAGGGACCCTGGGCATCTTTCTTTTGGTGTTTTTCAGAGTCAGTAGAAAGGCCTCTTTAGTGTCCTACATTTTCATAACTGTGACCTTAATTGCCTACCGTCTGTAAGCTGTTAGTGTCTTAACGTTCATTGTTCATTGAACAAGCATGGGAAACAGTGTTTAAACCCTTTACAATGAAGATCTGTGAAGTTATTTGGATTTCTACAAATTATCTTTGAAAGACAGGGTCCTGAAAAAGAGACGTTTCTTTTTTTGCTGAGTTTAGTTATCCTTCACTTGTAGCTACAATATACATATTTTTCGGTGTCATGTTTGCGCGCCTCATCTTGACTTTGTGTTTGACTTGCAGAGGAATATGTGACCTGTCACACATGTCACTCCCCTGACACCATCCTACAGAAGGACACCCGTCTCTACTTCCTCCAGTGTGAGACCTGCCACTCACGCTGCTCCGTGGCCAGCATCAAGACTGGCTTCCAGGCTGTCACAGGCAAGCGGGCACAGCTCCGTGCCAAAGCTAACTAAGGCCACCCCAACCCTGGCTTCCCCCTCTCTGACCCCGCCCAAGGGCCGGAGCATTGGATGCCCTTGATAACTGGACTTTTGTTTGGAGTCTGAGGGGGTTTGTTGTCGCTGCATTATGCCCAGGGTGTGAGAGAAAAAAGCTACATGCTCTGAGGCTCGAAGGACTTGCAGGTCATAAGGAGCTGTGCACAGGTGCATTGGTTTCGCAGGCAAACCCCCAATTTTCAGTTTTCTCAGCTGTGTCAGATTCTTTCAGCGCTTCTCTATTCCCTCCAAGTGAGCCTTTTCCCACATTTCTTCAATCGTATGTAGCCCACATATTGGATCATAAAGACAAAGCTATTATGACAAAATAATTGATATTGACTTTCCTTTAGTTGAAGCATAGTGGTGTGGAAACAAACATTTTAAAGATGCATTCCAGGAGCTAGGTTTCAGTATCATGTATGTACCCTTTTCGCACTGCCAAGCCATACTGTACGGGCCTGGCTACGCATCCACCATAGCTGCATGAACTGTGCTTGCTTCAAGCCAGTACAGTTTCGGCAGCTTGTTTACCCTCTACTGCTTTTACAGGCTTATCTGAGATCTGTATAGTATCATAGCAGACTGTCAGTGGGTGGAAATAGCTGGATGTCCTCTAATAAGAGTACATTACTTTCAAACTGAGACTACAGAATATGTGGGAGAAATGACAATGACATCTATTTATTGTGTGTGTGTGTGTGTGTGTGTGCGCTTTTAAGGCAATGACAAGATTTTAACTTTGACTTCCGTTCCTCTACACTTAGGAAACACATCCTTCTGCGTTGTCACCTGGGATATGAGAGGTTGTTGATTTCAAATAGCAAACAAGAAACTTACAAGGTATTCACATGGTATCAAAGATACTCCGGATTTGTTCATATAGCATATACAAAGTCTCTTTGTTGTTTAAAAGCTGATTTTTACAAAAATAACATATTTAACTTTCTCCCATCACTGTGTTTAAGACAATATGTTGTCTGTTGCCTTATTGATTTTCTTGAATTGATAAAACCCAAATAAATGTTTATCATGCAATTTATCATTGAAAGTGAGCAAAACTTGTTTTTATATGAAAACGGGTGGAATTAGAACAAATTCATTCTAGGTAGTCATATCACCAGGGATTCGGATCAAAATACTTTTTAAATGAAAAAATGATTGAATTGTGAGACGTGATTATCTGAACAGCGAGACTGCAATGAAGACTCCCTGGAACGCAACCTAAATTGCCGACGCATGTGCAGTGAATGCACTTCCTATTCAGCTCACAGCGCTGCGTTTTCTTGAACCAAACTACTTTTCAACGTAAAAAAAGGTAAACAAACTCGATATGTACACATTTGAAACTATTGCATTTCCCTGCGACAAAAGTAAGCTATTTAGTGTCACAGCGGTGGCTTGGGTGCAGATGTATTGCTAGCTAAGTGAACAACGTGATGGTTTGTGAGCAACCTCCATTCATTTAGCTAGCCACTGAAGTCCAATAGCTAATGGTCCTCTTTCATTATTATCATGTATGTATAATATCACTAATGCATGTAAAGGTTAATCGAATAACTTCACAGTATTGTAATGCTGTTTATTGTGTACTATTTCAGATTAGTAACCGCGTGTTGGCTCAAGACAATCCAACGTCATGAGCTTGTTTGGGCCAAGCGCTGGGTTTGGCGCGGGAGGATTCGGAGCGGCAACCACGGACACACACAACCCAATGAAGGTAACGTAGCTAGCTAGAAAATAACATTCCCTTTCAGTAACCTGCTTAATGACTAATCTAGTTGATTATTAGAACTTGTTCTGAGAGGTATCATTAATTTGAATAATGTGTGATCTCATATAGGATGTGGAAGTAACCTCACCCCCAGATGACAGCATCAGTTGCTTGGCGTTTAGTCCCCCTGCCATGCCAGGGAACTTCTTGATAGGGGGGTCCTGGGCCAATGATGTGAGTCAAGTCATTATGTTCCACTTCAAGTGCTCACTTCAGATGCATGCCTTTTTGATATGAGTCTAAAACCATTCACTTTGTAACACGTGACTGTTTTCTTCCATTTTTCCAGGTGAGGTGTTGGGAGGTACAGGACAACGGGCAGACAGTCCCCAAAGCCCAGCAGATGCACACAGGTCCAGTCCTTGATGTCTGCTGGAGCGAAGTAAGCCCTCTCACATCACATATCTTTACGAACCATATGAGGTGTTTGAATGAAACTTGACTTATTAGTTCCCTTGCTCTCTCAGGACGGAAGCAAGGTTTTCACAGCGTCTTGTGATAAGACTGCCAAAATGTGGGATCTCAACAGCAACCAGGCAATACAGATCGCACAGGTAAATATTTCAGACTATGAAAACTGTTTTTAAGTGTTATTTTTCAAATGGTAGTTTCATCACCTCTCTGTGCAACAGAGGGGAATCGCTTCCCTTGATTACATTATGACAAGTTCTGTTGAACCTAGATCAGATTAGAAATGGTATTGATTTGTGTTTCCTCTTAGCATGACGCTCCTATCAGAACAGTCCACTGGATCAAAGCCCCCAACTACAACTGCATCATGACAGGCAGCTGGGACAAAACTCTGAAGGTAAGAAAAATGATTGGTATTGGAAACAATCCTTGTTCCAAAATGATCATCTATTTTATATCATAGTTATTATATAGTTATACAGGGCATAAAAGAAATAGAGCCAAACATTCCTTTATCCCAGTGGCAGTAAAGCTCCTGAATGACGTCTGGCCTACAGTTGACATTGTTGTTGACGGTGTACTGATGTGTACAGTTGAATCATTATGAAATACCCATGAATTGCACTTTTTCTATTCTCATTGTATTTATTGTTTATATTTGTATTTATGTCATTGTATGCTTGATATGTTTTAATGTACACAGTGCCGCAAAAAAAATATCCCCACGCACGGGGATAATAATGTAATTATCTTACTTACCGTAATGGTTAATTTGCTCACTTGTTTGATTTGCTCATATAGTTCTGGGACACCCGCTCGCCCAACCCAATGATGTCCCTGCAGCTGCCGGAGAGGTGCTACTGTGCAGACGTGGTGAGGACCTAGTGCTAACGCTCCAGTGATTCATATTCTTTAAGTGGTTTTCTATAATAACTGAATAGCGAGGACTGAATAGTGATTTGAATTGTGTTCAGCAGTTAAATGTTCAAAACATTTAGATAAGTGTGCTGTGTCCTGGTTTTATAAAATGTATGCACACATGACTGTAAGTCGCTTTGGATAAAAGCGTCTGCTAAATGGCTTATTATTATTATTATGTGTTGTCTGCTGATTGGTGAGCTGACTGCTGTTGTTTCCAGGTGTACCCCATGGCAGTGGTAGCGTCTGCAGAGCGAGGTTTGATTGTATATCAGCTTGAGAACCAGCCGTCTGAGTTCAGGAGGATAGACTCACCACTCAAACACCAGGTGACTGGTTTCACATACCAGGTGACTTACAGGTCTCCCTAAAACAGGTCTTCCTGGATAAATAAAGGTTCAATAAAAAAAAGACCAACACATTTACAGGACTGTCTACTAATGTACATACACACTTTTCTGCCTCGCACATATTACACTCACCTTTTCACAGAGTGCCGTTTCCATTGATTATCAGTTATTATTGAGTAGTTAATGCCTGTAGTGTACACCCTAACACCAACTCTTCCGTCTCCCTGTATCAGCACCGCTGCATAGCCATCTTTAAGGACAAACAGAACAAGCCTGCTGGATTTGCTCTTGGGAGCATTGAAGGGCGGGTCGCCATTCACTACATCAACCCCCCTAACCCGTGAGTGCCACAAACCGTGTGATTTTCCTTACAAACTGTGAGAAAGACCTTAGCTATCACCCATGGCACCCTACTCACCACACTGTGTGTTTTTGTGTTGTAGAGCCAAGGATAACTTCACCTTCAAGTGCCACAGGTCGAATGGAACCAACACAGCCACACCGCAAGACATCTATGCTGTGAGTCCAGCTTGTGCTCTCTCCACCCTGCTATCATATCAGTTTGGCTACAGTCAGTAGGAAGCGTAAGATGTTGGGGTGTTTTTCATGCAAACAGCTTGCTGTTTCTGATCAAACAGGTGAATGCCATCTCCTTCCATCCTGTCCATGGTACACTGGCGACTGTTGGGTCTGACGGTCGCTTTAGCTTCTGGGATAAAGACGCCCGCACCAAGCTGAAGACCTCGGAGCAGCTGGACCAGCCAATCACAGCTTGCTCGTTCAACAACAATGGCAACATCTTTGCCTACGCCTCTAGCTATGACTGGTCAAAGGTAACATTTTGTCTCGCACCTCATGTTATGATTGGTTGATTTTAAGACTCATTCTATTCCTTCAAAATGGCCAGGCAATATTTCTAATAAGTTAAATGTATACATCTTTGTGTTAAACCTCAGGGGCATGAGTACTACAACCCTCAGAAAAAGAACTACATCTTCCTGCGTAATGCTACTGAGGAGCTGAAACCTCGGAACAAGAAATGGTGAGTCAGACTGCCTGTGATTGTCAACACATTAATCGCCTTTGAGCACCTCTATGGTGACCTTTGCAAGACATTCTATGCATAAGAAATCTAGAACCACATGTACAGTGCTATGAAAAAGTATTTGCCCCCTTTCTAATTGTCTCTACTTTTGCATATTTGTGATACTGAATGTTATCAGATCTTCAACCAAAACCTAATATTAGATAAAGGGAACATAAGTGAACAAATAACACAACAATTACATATTTATTTTATTTATTTCATAAACAAAGTTATGCAACACCCAATTCCCCTGTGTGAAAAAGTAATTGCCCCCTTACACTCAATAACTGGTTGTGCCACCTTTAGCTACAATGACTCCAACCAAATGCTTCCTGTAGTTGTTGATCAGTCTCTCACGTCGCTGTGGAGGAATTTTGGTCCACTCTTCCATGCAGAACTGCTTTAACTCAGTGACGTGGGTTTTCAAGCATGAACTGCTCGTTTCAAATCCTGCCACAACATCTCAATTGGGATTAGGTCTGGACTTTGACTAGGCCATTCCAAAACTTCCAATTTGTTGCTTTTTAGCAATTTTCATGTAGACTTGATTGTGTGTTTTGGATCATTGTCTTGCTGCAAGACCCAGCTGCACTTCAGCTTCAGCTCACAGACGGATGGTCTGACATTCTCCTGTAGAAGTCTCTGATACAGAGCAGAATTCATGGTTCCTTCTATTAAGACAAGTCGTCCAGGTCCTGAGGCAGCAAAGCATCCCCAAACCATCACACCACCACCACCATGCTTGACCTTTGGTATGATGTTCTTACTGTGGAATGCAGAGTTTTGGTTTTCGCCAGGCATTACTGGAACCATGTCGTCCAAAAAGTTATACTTTTGAATCATCTGTCCATAGAACGTTCTTCCAAGAGTCTTGATTATCATCCAGGTGCTTTTTGGCAAACTTGAGTCAACTTTTTGGACGAGATGGGTCCCATTATGCCTGGCGAAAACCAAACTCTGCATTCCACAGTAAGAACATCATACCAAAGGTCAAGCATGGTGGTGGTGGTGTGATGGTTTGGGGATGCTTTGCTGCCTCAGGACCTGGACGACTTGTCTTAATAGAAGGAACCATGAATTCTGCTCTGTATCAGAGAATTCTACAGGAGAATGTCAGACCATCCGTCTGTGAGCTGAAGCTGAAGCGCAGCTGGGTCATGCAGCAAGACAATGATCCAAAACACACAATCAAGTCTACATGAAAATTGCTAAAAAGCAACAAATTGGAAGTTTTGGAATGGCCTAGTCAAAGTCCAGACCTAATCCCAATTGAGATGTTGTGGCAGGACTTGAAACGAGCAGTTCATGCTTGAAAACCCACACGTCACTGAGTTAAAGCAGTTCTGCATGGAAGAGTGGGCCAAAATTCCTCCAAATGACGTGAGAGACTGATCAACAACTACAGGAAGCATTTGGTTGGAGTCATTGCAGCTATAGGTGGCACAACCAGTTATTGAGTGTAAGGGGGCAATTACTTTTTCACACAGGGGAATTGGGTGTTGCAAAACTGTTTATGAAATAAATATGTAATTGTTGTGTTATTTGTTCACTTATGTTCCCTTTATCTAATATTAGGTTTTGGTTGAAGATCTGATAACATTCAGTATCACAAATATGCAAAAGTAGAGAAAATTAGAAAGGGGGAAAATACTTATTCATAGCACTGTATATTGGCGGACAAGCAAAGACTTGAAAGCAACAGACTTAATGACTTTTTGTAAATTTTTCTCATGTCTCTAGATTTGTCCAGTGTCTCGCCTGTTGTTTGCAAAATGGAGGGTTGTCAAACACACACCTCATGCCTGCATGACCCTGTTCCTATCCTGTGCCAACACCAATGGTGGAGCTGTTGTGCTTGCAAAAAGACCAATCACTTGAGGTCTTTCATCTGCTTGGAATTGGCCTGGCTATTCTGTCCCAGCCACAGGCATTCCAATAGGGGTTGGAGAGTGAGGAGATGATATTGTTTTGTAATATCTGATATTTTATTTTCTATTGTCAGTTGCTAGGTTTCCATCGAATTGGCGACAGACTTTTCATGTGAATATTCTAAAATCTGCTAAAACAAAATCTAAAAACAATATGCACATTTTCCCACCAGAGATGTTTCCATCCAATTGATTTGTTGTGGATAGAAGGCTGTGCGTGATGACATAGTGCACATAAAAATAACTTTTGCGGTGAAATTCCCATGTACTAAATAAAAAATACAAGTTAAATGGGTTTCCATCGCATTTTCAACTCTATTGATGGTTTTGTCACTAAAAATGTTGTTATATAGCGAATGTGCCCTTAAGCATGTGCGCTCTAGCCGACAGCTCGCAGATACAGTGTGGGTATAGCCTACTACATGATGAGATTATTATGGTCAAAAGAGCAAGATTATTTTTATTTATCAAACGGCAGCCAAGCATAGATCATGTCACCAGAATAAGACCCTCAATATTTATTGGAAAGTAGCATCAAAGCTCATTACCGTGCACTCACCACCCTGTGCAGTTCATCATAACTTATTTCATCGCATGACTCCAAGTTTACTTCGATATGATGGTTATTATATCAATATTTACGCATAAAGCATTTCCACCGCCATTACTAGCGTAATTAAGTTTACAGACACAAAAATATGTCACCTTGTCTAGCATATTTTGTTTTGTCGACATTTGTGAAGTTCGACAAATTTGCTGTTTCCATCGGGCCTGTCATTACATTTTTTATCCGACGTACTGTACTCACATAAAAAGTTTGGATGGAAACCTGGTAACTGATACCATGATTGCATGGTAATATATTTTTTTCTCCTATGTTACATTGTTGTACAATTTAATGACATTGAAGAATGAAATAAATGAGTAAATAAAGACAAGTTAAGCTGTTCTTCTATCCGACTGGTTTTTACAACACCTTTTTTCATGCTCATCTATTCTACTCTTGCACATACACAGTGCAGTGGGGCACAACGTTTAGAACACTAAGCAAATAGGAATGCATAGAACATATATGTACATGGTATACTGGGCTCCTGGAACTAAACTAAGGATATTCACTATTGTTGAACATGTTGTATTTTTACCCTGTTTTACCCATTTCGATTTATATTAAAGGAAGTTCTATGAAAAGGACACGCATTTGGCATCAATGTGTGCAGGTCCCAGTATCTCAATTCTCCTTGTCTATAGTAGGCTACTAGAATACAGAACTAAACTACTCTGTACGATAGACTGAAAAATGCTGGTGGAAATTCAGTTTGGTTCTATATTCTAGTAACCGACTACTACAGACAATGATAATTTAGGGATACTGGGACATACAGACGTACTGACAGGTTTAGATCATCCATTTTTTACAGTCTGTTGCAGCGTTTACGTATTGGTCGGAACTAGGAAACTTGAATTTCCGACGTGCTAAATGGTTATTGTTATAGTTATACACGTGCAGCGTTCAACGAATCGGCAACTCGGAAATGTCCGAGTTTCCTAGTTCCGACTAGCATATGAACGCGGCATATGACACAGACTCTGGAGTGTGAATTCGTGTATTCTCGCGATGATAGTTCTGGACGTCATGGTCTACATAAAACGTTCGAACTCCTCGGCGACATCTCTTTTGTTAACGGCATTTTGTTATCAATTTGTGAAGTCAACCGAGGATCAATAGTCATGCCTCGCGTCTATGTTGGAAAATTGAGTTATCATGCTCGAGAAAAAGACATTCAGAGGTTTTTCAGTGGCTACGGAAAGGTTATGGAAATTGATCTGAAAAATGGGTAAATTCAAGTTGATCATATGAAGAGAATCAGTTGAACAACAAATAGCTGGCATGCTAACATTAGCTTCATAGCTACTTGGTTTCGGCTAGCTAGCTCTCCCAAAACATATAAGTGAAATAACTAGTTACATTCACATTTGCGTTGATATTCGTGCATGTAATAGCAACTAGATAACATTTGTGATTATTAGATGCACAAATTTGCTTTACTAAAGCATTTCATTTTTTTGTAAAGAACTTCGTTAGCTAGCTGACGTTAGCGTGTTCAAAATGGCTGCTTGTTTAGGCTGCACTGCAGACAGTTTTTTCTTTTTTTGCTGCCATGTAACTGTTCGCTACCCTAACGTTAGCTAGTTAGCCAATTAGCTAGTTTCCTCAAAAGCCCCTTTCATGCACAGGCAATGAGCCCACTAATTTACCATGCTAACTTTTTATTTATTTTTACCAGTTTTGGGGTATATTTTAAACGAGTATGGGTTAAAATATGCCACATATTCTGTCTGAAATGAGTATAAACGACTTAAAACTCATTCGTTTTGCAGTTATGCTACCCGAATACAAGGTTATTAACTTTTTGTTTTAATCTTTTAGATATGGCTTTGTAGAGTTTGATGACAATCGCGATGCGGACGACGCAGTGTATGAACTGAATGGCAAGGAGTTGTGCGGGGAGCGTGTGACCGTGGAACATGCCAGAGGACCGCGGCGCGACCGAGATGGATATAGTGGTGGCGGGGGTGGTCGCAGTAAGTGCAATCTATTTCAATGTTCCCTCTGCCCTTTCCCAATGGATCAAGGAAATGTGAATGTGGACCGTATACACACAGACCTGTGATCCTAAAGTGGAGTTTGACCTAGCTCGCCAATACTCAATGGTTTCACCATTGCGATAAAGTAATTAATGTTAGTATAAAAGTGTCACCATTGAGTATGGTCTAAGTTTGACCCAACTTGGCGCAGACATCACCTACTGTTTGTTTAGATGTAATGAAACCATGTTTCTAGTGTTTTCTTCCTGGTGGAATTGTAAACACCTATAAACAACTGTATTTAGCTATTATGAAGTCACGGCTTTGTCACCATATAGCCTAGCTGTATCGTTAAATACCATTACATGTGAATTGTATTTTACGTTTGATTTCAGCATTAACAAAGTCCTTGATGTTTCAATTTGAAAGAGTCCAGCTGCGGGCTGAGGCTGAGTCCGAGTCCATTGAGGCTAAGATGACTGGCTAAGATGAGACTGCCTGTCCCGTTTGGCCTTGGCTTTCACCTTACAATGTGTGTGTGACCTATGCCCCTTGACCCTTGGCTGACCTAACCGGAAGCCATGATGACAGCATCCTTTTGCCAATAGACCAGGGGTGATGGTGAGGATTCCCATTGGTTTCTATGTTGAAAGAATAAGTGGGGCGGCTTTAAGTCAAAAACATGTTACCGCTCGCTGTAAGTGGGCAAACCAACTGAATTGCCCCCAGTTTGACAACCGGTTAGGCTAAGTCATGGGGAAAACTTTTGTAGCGTTATGTCAGTTGACACGCTTACTAAATGTGATACAAGTTTTTGACAGCGACTTTGTGGGAGCCTCTATTTGTCTTTCAGGATTCAATGGTTTGTAAGAAGAAGAACATCAATGTCCATTTGTTTGTACGGCTAAAGAATTGCACTTATTAAACATTTGTCAGACTGGCTGTATGTTGCTGGTAACAGATGCAGTGGTGTTCTTTGCACAGCAGTGAACTACTTCAGAGGCGATACAGTGAGGAGAATATAAACTGACATCCACTAAGACAACAAATGCCACGGCTTTAAGACCTCAGTCACTTATTAAGAGGTTTGTCTTGAGAATGGGTCCAGATGGACATCTTACAGGACCTAGGTTAAACATTACCACACCTTTTATTCTGGTAGCTGCATTCTCTGTTTATGGTCTAATCCACTGAGTGAAATGCCTATATGCCACTCTGTTTTGCTGACTTTTTGTATAACCTGTCATTTAAAGGTAGTAGTGGTTACAGCAGCAGCAGAAGCCGCACTGGCAGGGATAAGTACGGGCCACCTGTCCGTACTGAGTACCGGCTGATCGTTGAGAATCTGTCCAGCCGCTGCAGCTGGCAGGATCTGAAGGTGAGTTGTTGGGACAATTTTATATTTGTAGGTGAGGGACAGGCACTAAAGATAAACTGCCAGTTACTGTCCATGGCAGGCCATTTGTTTCTGAAACATTTGGGAAATATTCAGCGGAGTGGCTCTGCCTCTACAGGATTTCATGCGCCAGGCAGGAGAGGTCACGTACGCTGACGCCCACAAGGAGCGTACCAACGAGGGTGTCATCGAGTTCGGCTCGCGTTCGGACATGAGAAGGGCCCTGGACAAGCTGGACGGCACGGACATCAACGGAAGGAAGATCCGCCTGGTGGAGGAAAAGTCTCGCCGCCGCCGCTCCTACTCTGGCAGCCGCTCCAGGTGAGGCTCTACACACCACCCTGCTCTTTGAGTAGTTTTGATGAATTTCTCATCCAACATTCTGCTTCCCATCTGTTGTCACTTTAAAGGGATGTGTGACATTTGTATTCTTGTACCCTCCTGCAGGTCTCGCAGCAGACGTCGCTCTCGTAGCAGGAGCAGCCGCTCCAGGAGTAACTCCAGATCCCGCTCCCGGTAAGATGGCCCCCCTGTCTACAAAGTGATGGTTTAGATTGGTCAATATGGGTACATTTGAGTCATTTAGCAGACGCTCTTATCCAGAGCGACTTACAGTTAGTGAGTGCATACAATTATTTATTTATTTTTCATAATGATTGTAACCAATCGTCAACCCCCTGTAGATCCCATTCTCGCAGCAAGAGGCGTCGCTCCAGGTCTGGAAGGAAGTCCCGTTCCCGCAAGTCTCGGTCCCACTCTCGCACCCGCAAATCCAGATCCCGCTCCGACAAAAGCAAGTCCCGTTCCAAGAGCCGCTCCAAGGTGAAATCCGAGCGGGATTCCCGCAGCCGCTCCAAGGAGAAGTTGGCCAGCAAGAAGTCCCGTAGCCGCTCGGCATCCCCCATGGGGAATGGGAAGGAGGAGCCATCCTCTCACTCCCCGTCCCCAGCAGCTGACCGTCGCTCCAAGTCTCCGGACAAGCGATCTGTCTCCCACTCCCCATCTCGCTCCAGGTCTAGATCAGCTTCCCGAGATTAAAGGCATTGCCCAGTTGTTTTTGCTTCATCCACATGTTCCCCATTAGAGCAATCTGGATGTATAGGAGCAGCTCTTATTTGATTTAACAGATCTATCGCAGCACCAGGTTAATCAAGGCTTGCTCAGTCTTAATCGGTGCTATCTTTGGCACTTAAAAATCTAAACTATGATCTTGACATTGTATTATACATGGCATAAGAACGATTTAGTCATCTTTATTGTGGGGGGGGGGTGCACATCGTAGATTACAGCTATTAATACGTTTTGTACATGGGGGAGCTTGTCTGAATGGCTTTGTATTTAAAACAAGTTAGGCCTTTTTCTTTCATGTCCTTTTTTAGTTATTTGTATTCATTCCTCTGGTCTGCTTTTGCTTACCTCAGGGTGGCGTTTGACTTTATTTTTAATTTTCATGATTTGAGTAATTACATCTATTGAGCCCAAGGGTGGTTTTTGACCCCCCCCCCCCCCCCCCCCCCCCCCCCCCCAAAAAAAAAAAATGTACTTGCATGTACATCTTGAAGACAAGCAGTTTTTTGGCATTCAATTAGGAGATTTAACCGGGTATAGTGGTACAGATTCTACCCTTTCCCACATGAGAAGACGTCTGATTACTTGTAACCATCTCCATTTTTTTATTGTACATTTAATAAATGTTCTTATGAAAATTGCTGGGTTCTGATTTATATTGCTGCCATGATGACACAACGCACTGCTTTTTTTCGTATTTGGCCCAAAAACGAAAAACTGAATTCTATATCATTTATGAAAATTATTATTGATTCTTCCTTACGGTGAAATGGTGTACAGTGTTTATATAACACATTGTATAAACGTGAAAAGCGGTGGGGGGAGAGTGTGACTTTTTATGTAATTCCCTTAATATTTTGGGGTGCAGTCGTTTATTATTGAGTTGGCGCTATACATTCTTCTGGTTAAATGAACATGGGTCCACTGTGGGTGGTCTGCGCATGCGTAAGATTCTGATCCGCAAGAGAAACCGCTGGTAAGCTAAATTGAGTCCCCAATTCAATTTGTAATTGGTCAGCTGATATACATTTATAATGCTTTGACATGCATGCAATAAGCGCTCCAGAATCTTGAAATTATAACTTGCAGATGGTAAGATGGCAATTGTCATTTTATTGTGGTTGATATCCAGCATGCATACACATAATTAGCCATAAAGCTATTTCGTATCGCAAATAATGTAAGATTTCAATATATTGTGTCATATTTGATAGTTCTCAGGAAACATATAATAGGCTACGGTCCGCAACATAAACGGTATTGTATTATTGTTGTCGCTGCATGTCATGGAGCGATGCCATTCATTTGAAATTTTGCCAGGATTGGTTGCTTTGTACATTTTCAAAAATTGTAGTGAGTTTCTTTTTTTTTCTCAAATAGCTTCAAGGATTTATGGTCCTCCGCCATTTTACAGCGGAATTGCTGTGTTTTTGGTAAATTAATAATATAATTCGATTTTGCTTTGTGTCTCTACTTTCAATTGTTATTCGAAGAGCAGCGTTGTCAAAAAGCATCGACAGATGTCCTCACAATTAAATTGTTTATTTTTAAATAATAAACCTTTCTCCGAATGTACTTTATCTCCAATGCTGTCAAGTGATAATAAAAGTAATTCATTAAATTGTAAAGGTTTCTAAAAAATCCCCACAATAATTCAGAAATCGCACACAGCATTTTTTAAATTCTTAAAATGAGAAAATGGCAGCATATATATACAGGGAATTGTCCCCTATATTCTGATATTTAATGTTAATAGAGAACATAATACTGTGGATGCAGGGGATGGATAATATGGCCTGTAACCCTTCTGACATTCAGGCCCCTTAGCACTGCAATCCTAATATGTGAAATTGTTATGATCTCTTTACAGAGGCAGTAGGTGAGGTCTGCCATGAGTGCCAAAGTGGAGCTGGATGTTTCAGCCAAAAAAGCAGATCCCACTCCCCTCACTGACTCCAGTGATTCCCTCTCCAATGACAGTCTGTCAAATAAGACACGCCCACAGACCACCACAGCACTCATCCTGCCAGGTGAGATAAGGCCACCATAACTCTTCTGGAACTATGACACTCAATAGCGTACCGTAATGAATTGCACCCTGAACATTTTTCAACTCAGAGATATGCTGCACAATGTCATAAATGTTGACAAACCAGAGAGGGTACATACTACCCTCCTACTAGTCTCACGTAGCTATATCATATCTTCACATTCGCTCAGAACTCAGAAGCCTGGCTCTTCTCTCCCCAGCCCCTGCTCCCAGTACCCAGAAGGTGGAGGTCTCTCTGGGTGTTGCTGAGGCAGGTAATGGAGCCATAGCTGGAGAGGTGGAGACCCCCACTCTAGCCCCCCAGGTTGGGGGGACCTGTAGCATCGTCCATGTGCTGGAGTGGAAAGAAGGGATGGCCATCTTACCCAGCAGCAACCTAAAGGTGAATGACCATCGTATGGTCTCATGACCATCGTGTTTTATTAGAAGCATAGGGTTCTCTGCTAAATTATGTAAATGTTAGTAAGCGTTGGAGTAAAGACGCACCATGTGTGCACATGGTTGAAATCTGTGTCTTTTTCAGTTCTGTGTGAGTGACTGTGGAACACTGGAGATTATCAGCCAAGGGAATATCAGCAGCGCTGAACCAGTAGTGGTGTCTGGAAAAATACCTGACTCCGAAAACAGGCCAATTAACAAATCAGGTAGGCTACTGAAAATTAGTAATACTGTGTGTTGTCTGCAGCTTAACAGTCTCTTAACTAAACCGTAATGGAAATTAACTAGCACGTTCAAACATATTTTTATTTCAAGAATTATCCACATAAAGAATTTGCAACCCCGAATGCAATCCTTTCCTAATCCTAACCTGACATAATGCCTCCATTGTAGATGTGTTGTGTCCTCTCAGCTCTGTGGGTGGTGTGGCTGTGGACCAGGAGAGGCCCATCACGACTGAGCCTAAGACCCAGGGAGGGCCAGGCAAACAGGAGAGCTGTGATCCCATGGCACAGAGAACCTACCCAGAGCAACTACGCAGGGAACCCATGACTGACAAGTAAGTACTGAAGCGTGAAGCCTATCCACACATGATCAAATTAATGTATGAAAACATCCTTTTACTATAAAAAGTGTATTTTACGCTAAATTAAAATCAAGGATGCATCATACGCATACAGTGGATGCTCAGACACAAGAATATACAGTGAGGGAAAAAGGTATTTGATCCCCTGCTGATTTTGTACGTTTGCCCACTGACAAAGAGATGATCAGTCTATAATTTTAATGGTAGGTTTATTTGAACAGTGAGAGACAGAATAACAACAAAAAAATCCAGAAAAACACATGTCAAAAATGTTATGAATTGATTTGCATTTTAATGAGGGAAATAAGTATTTGACCCCTCTGCAAAACATGACTTAGTACTTGGTGGCAAAACCCTTGTTGGCAATCACAGAGGTCAGACATTTCTTGTAGTTGGCCACCAGGTTTGCACACATCTCAGGAGGGATTTTGTCCCACTCCTCTTTGCAGATCTTCTCCAAGTCATTAAGGTTTCGAGGCTGACGTTTGGCAACTCGAACCTCAAGCTCCCTCCACAGATTTTCTATGGGATTGAAGTCTGGAGACTGGCTAGGCCACTCCAGGACCTTAATGTGCTTCTTCTTGAGCCACTCCTTTGTTGCCTTGGCCATGTGTTTTGGGTCATTGTCATGCTGGAATACTCATCCACAACCCATTTTCAATGCCCTGGCTGAGGGAAGGAGGTTCTCACCCAAGATTTGACGGTACATGGCCCCGTCCATCGTCCCTTTGATGCGGTGAAGTTGTCCTGTCCCCTTAGCAGAAAAACACTCCCAATGCATAATGTTTCCACCTCCATGTTTGACGGTGGGGATGGTGTTCTTGGGGTCATAGGCAGCATACCTCCTCCTCCAAACACGGCGAGTTGAGTTGATGCCAAAGAGCTCGATTTTGGTCTCATCTGACCACAACACTTTCACCCAGTTCTCCTCTGAATCATTCAGATGTTCATTGGCAAACTTCAGACGGGCCTGTATATGTGCTTTCTTGAGCAGGGGGACCTTGCGGGCGCTGCAGGATTTCAGTCCTTCACGGCGTAGTGTGTTACCAATTGTTTTCTTGGTGACTATGGTCCCAGCTGCCTTGAGATCATTGACAATATCCTCCCGTGTAGTTCTGGGCTGATTCCTCACCGTTCTCATGATCATTGCAACTCCACGAGGTGAGATTACGTTTTACATTTACATTTTCGTCATTTAGCAGACACTCTTATCCAGAGCGACTTACAAATTGGTGCATTCACCTTATGATTGCCAGTGGGACAACCACTTTACAATAGTATTTTTTTGGGGTGGGGTAAGGGGGTTTAGAAGGATTACTTTATCCTATCCCAGATATTCCTTAAAGAGGTGGGGTTTCAAGTGTCTCCGGAAGGTGGTGAGTGACTCCGCTGTCCTGGCGTCGTGAGGGAGCTTGTTCCACCATTGGGGTGCCAGAGCAGCGAACAGTTTTGTCTGGGCTGAGCGGGAACTGTGCTTCCGCAGAGGTAGGGGAGCCAGCAGGCCAGAGGTGGATGAACGTAGTGCCCTCGTTTGGGTGTAGGGACTGATCAGAGCCTGAAGGTACGGAGGTGCCGTTCCCCTCACAGCTCCGTAAGATCTTGCATGGAGCCCCAGGCCGAGGGAGATTGACAGTTATTTTGTGTTTCTTCCATTTGCAAATAATCGCACCAACTGTTGTCACCTTCTCACCAAGCTGCTTGGCGATGGTCTTGTAGCCCATTCCAGCCTTGTGTAGGTCTACAATCTTGTCCCTGACATCCTTGGAGAGCTCTTTGGTCTTGGCCATGGTGGAGAGTTTGGAATCTGATTGATTGCTTCTGTGGACAGGTGTCTTTTATACAGGTAACAAGCTGAGATTAGGAGCACTCACTTTAAGAGTGTGCTCCTAATCTCAGCTCGTTGCCTGTATAAAAGACACCTGGGAGCCAGAAATCTTTCTGATTGAGAGGGGGTCAAATACTTATTTCCCTCATTAAAATGCAAATCAATTTATAACATTTTTGACATGCGTTTCTCTGGATTTTTTTGTTGTTATTCTGTCTCTCACTGTTCAAATAAACCTACCATTAAAATTATAGACTGATCATTTCTTTGTCAGTGGGCAAACGTACAAAATCAGCAGGGGATCAAATCTTTTTTTCCCTCACTGTATTAACCACCATGCAGAAGATGTAATGTAGGTCATAGATAGCCTAAGGCAAAGCTTTGTGTAGTGGACTCAACTATTCTCTTATCTGTCCCTTAGGAGGGTGGGAGGTGCAGAGAAGATTCCTGGGGGCAGGGTAGCGTCTCTGGACCCTGAGCTGCTGAAACCCATGAAGAAGAGGAAGAGGAAGGACTACCTGAGTCCATCGGAGGAAGAGTCTGAACTGGATGGCATGGTGGGAATCGCTCGAGGGTCACTCGATCCCACATAATGCATTCACAATTTAGTAGTATTTTTTTTTGTAATAAGTAAATGAGCTCACATGCATGTGATGGCCATATGCATCAATCAATTATTTTGTTCAGTACTACTCATGCTGTAGGTACTTTGTCTTTGTTGTAGTAAATCGATGTGTTGTATTTGGGGTTCTAGGATTATTTGAAGACAGAAAGCGGACACAACAGAGCGGGTGAGAATCAGCAAAAATGTATACAAAATGTAAACCCATTTGAACCATATATTCAAGTCATGTTTCTGTTGAATCAGATCTCCAATCTGCTTTGTGTTGTGTTTTCTGTCTGTGTACAACAGGTACTGGTGAAGTTAAGATGGAGCTGTGGACTTGGGGACAGTATCTGGAGGAGGTCAAAGCAGTGGCAGCTCCAGCCAAACTCTTTCAAGAGGTGGGTTTTATTAACTTTCGATACATACTAAATGATAGGGCCGGGACAATACCAGTATCACAATACTAGTTAGTATCATGGCAAGGAAAGAAAACACGAAGTGGATTCAACTTCTTTAGGAAAATAGTCATAATGTTGGAAACAACATCATTATGTTGTCATCCAGAGTCACATTGATTTATTTTCCAATCTATGGCACACATTATTTTACATACAGCAGGTTTCTAAAGGACCAAAGAGTTGGGTCTGCTTTGTGTTTTCATATTTGCCATGGAAAAACTATTGCGATACTGGTATCGTCACTGCCCTACTAAATTAGAGAACAAAAGTTAATATTCTTTGCAAATTAAATTGTGAGTGTGCATGTGTGTGTGCATGAATGTGTCTATGGCTTCTCTCACTATGACCCCCTGTATTTCCAGGCTCAGAGGGTCCCACAGTGCAAAAGCAGCTTCCGCCAGGGCATGAAGTTAGAGGGCGTCGACCCCCAGCACCCCTCCATGTACTTTGTTCTGACTGTGGCTGAGGTACTGTGTGCAGCGCTGCTCAACCTACAGTCGCATGCTCTTTGAGGTTTGCTTCTACCTCTCTCCCTGTCCTGACTGTTTTGCTTCATACACACTACACACTCTGACTGTACACACTGATTAATCCTCAGAGAGAGACGGATCCACATAACTGAGGAAAGACACGGAGAGAGAGAGATTTGGGGAGACATGGTTTGACTTCTGTCTGTCTTGTCCTGTTTGTAGGTTTGTGGCTACAGGCTGCGGCTCCATTTTGACGGCTACTCAGACTGTCATGACTTCTGGGTAAATGCCAACTGCCCTGACATCCACCCGGCGGGATGGTGTGAGAGCACTGGACACAAACTGTACACCCCCAAAGGTCAGAGTATACTGGGCTTTAGTTTGTGGTTGGGCTGCAATTTGGACTCTGATTTGTTTCCTGTTCACATTTAGATTATGGCGCAGATCATTCGCCCAAGCACCTAAGGATCTGAATCATAAAGTAATGAATGAGAATGGCCTTATTAGAGTAGTGGTCCAGGGACATGTCCGTATCATATGTTTGTGTCTGTGTCATAGGCTGCAAAGAGGAGGAGTTCTCCTGGGCCAGCTACCTGAGAATGAGTAAAGCACAAGTTGCCCCTAAAGAGGTGTTTTCCAGCCCTGGAAGAGTAAGTCTAAGCATGACTCTTATCCTCAATCAGTGGCATGCATCTACCTGAAGTAACTAACTGTAAGCGGCTAATGTGGTGTGTTTGTGTTGGTGGCCCACTGGTCAGACTGATACGGAGTGTGGTTTCGAGGTGGGCATGAAGCTGGAGGCGGTCGACCGCATGAACCCCTCTCTCATCTGCGTGGCGACCGTGACCGACGTGGTGGACGACCGCTTCCTGGTTCACTTTGATAACTGGGATGACACGTATGACTATTGGTGAGGCCATTATTTCATGTCTTTTCATGACTTCTCTAAATCATGAACTGTGCTGTTTTAGTAGCCATGATGCCATGATTTAAATTCTAATCTGATTAGTCGATGTTGAATTACCCCATTCAGGTGTGACGCCAGCAGTCCATACATCCATCCTATTGGCTGGTGCCAAGAGAGGAGCCTCCCCCTCACGCCACCTCAAGGTGACTGACAAAGTTGTAAGAAATAATATAGATCTAAGAAGTGAAATATAGGGAATACGGTGGCATTTCACACACACCTATGAACTGTGTCCCATGTGCCCTGTCTGTCCTGTCAGGTTACCCAGACCCAGGCAGGTTCTCCTGGCCAAGGTACCTGGACGAGACTGGTTCTACCGCGGTGTCTTCTGAGGCCTTTAAAGTGGTACATCACTGCGGATTTGTTGCAATGAATACCACCATACACTGTGGTCATTTCAGAAATTGATAAATACAATTGACTTGACTTGAATCCTTTTTTGTGGGGTAAAGTGGAGTTGTGAACATAATTACTATTTTGAAATGAACTATAGGGACTGATTTGAGGTCAGGTGTTGTGCCGTTGTTTGATGACGATGTGACCCTCCGCTCCGCAGCGTCCTGCTCATGGCTTCCAGGCTCAGATGAAGCTGGAGGCAGTGGACAGAAGGAGCCCCGGCCTGATCCGGGTGGCCACAGTGGAGGAGGTCGACACCCACCGCATTAAGGTCAACCAGTAGTGTGCGTGTGTGCATGTCTCATGGTTGTATGTACCAGTGCCACTACTACAGTCGTGGTCAAAAGTTTTGAGAATGACACAAATATTAATTTTCACAAAGTCTGCTGCCTCAGTTTTTATGATGACAATTTGCATATACTCTAGAATGTTATGAAGAGTGATCAGATTAATTGCAAAGTCCCTCTTTGCCATGAAAATGAACTTAATCCCCCCAAAAACATTTCCACTGCATTTCAGCCCTGCCACAAAAGGACCAGCTGACATCATGTCAGTGATTCTGTCATTAACACAGGTGAGAGTGTTAACGAGGACAAGGCTGGAGATCACTCTGTCATGCTGATTGAGTTAGAATAACAGACTGGAAGCTTTAAAAGGAGGGCTGTGCTTGAAATCATTGTTCTTCTTCTGTTAACCATGGTTACCTGCAAGGAAACACGTGCCGTCATCATTGATTTGCACAAAAAGGGCTTCACAGGCAAGGATATTGCTGCTAGTAAGATTGCACCTAAATCAACCATTTATCGGATCATCAAGAACTTCAAGGAGAGAGGTTCAACTGTTGTGAAGAAGGCTTCAGGGCGCCCAAGAAAGTCCAGCAAGCGCCAGGACCGTCTCCTAAAGTTGATTCAGCTGCGGGATCGGGGCACCACCAGTGCAGAGCTTGCTCAGGAATGGCAGCAGACAGGTGTGAGTGCATCTGCACGCACATTGAGGCAAAGACTTTTGGAGGATGGCCTGGTGTCAAGAAGGGCAGCGAGGAAGCCACTTCTCTCCAGGAAAAACATCAGGGACAGACTGATATTCTGCAAAAGGTACAGGGATTGGACTGCTGAGGACTGGGGTAAAGTCATTTTCTCTGATGAATCCCCTTTCCGATTGTTTGGGGCATCTGGAAAAAAGCTTGTCCGGAGAAGACAAGGTGAGCACTACCATCAGTCCTGTGTCATGCCAACAGTAAAGCATCCTGAGACCATTCATGTGTGGGGTTGCTTCTCAGCCAAGGGAGTGGGCTCACTCACAATTTTGCCTAAGAACACAGCCATGAATAAAGAATGGTACCAACACATCCTCCGAGAGCAACTTCTCCCAACCATCCAAGAACAGTTTGGTGACGACCAATGCCTTTTCCAGCATGATGGAGCACCTTGCCATAAGGCAAAAGTGATAACTAAGTGTCTCGGTGAACAAAACATCGACATTTTCGGTCCATGGCCAGGAAACTCCCCAGACCTTAATCCCATTGAGAACTTGTGGTCAATCCTCAAGAGGCGGGTGGACAAACAAAAACCCACAAATTCTGACAAACTCCAAGCATTGAATATGCAAGAATGGGCTGCCATCAGTCAGGATGTGGTCCAGAAGTTAATTGACAGCATGCCAGGGCGGATTGCAGAGGTCTTGAAAAAGAAGGGTCAACACTGCAAATATTGACTCTTTGCATAAACTTAATGTAATTGTCAATAAAAGCCGTTGACACTTATGGAATGCTTGTAATTATACTTCAGTATACCATAGTAACATCTGACAAAAATATCTAAAAACATTGAAGCAGCAAACTTTGTGAAGACCAATACTTGTGTCATTCTCAAAACGTTTGACCACGACTGTACACTCCCATAACTATGTGATAATATACCATACTCCCACAGGTCCATTTTGATGGCTGGAGTCATATGTATGATGATTGGATGGACTCGGACCACCCTGACATCCACCCAGTCGGCTGGTGTGAGAGTACAGGTCACCCGCTAAAAGTGCCCCCCCGTGAGTCCAACAAAACCCAACATCTTGGTAACAGCTACCATACTTCCCTGACTCTACTTCACCTTGGTATGAGTGCTTACATGTTCTGTTTGGGTTGTGTGCGTATGCTTGGGTGCGTGTGTGTGTTTTTTTTATAAGGCCCCAGGGAACCTGCAACCACAGGCCAGTCCAGTTTCTCCTCCATGCCTTGCAAAGGAATCAGCCACTCCAGATCCACCAAGTACAGCTTCCATCACAGGTCAGTAACCCCCAGAAATAGGTATTTGAAACGCCTATGAAACAGTTAATGGAAGTGGATATGTGTTCCATACCAATGCTATGATTATGTTATAATGATGTTATAATGGAGTCAACCCTATTGTTTGAAACAGGAAGTGTCCGACACCCGGATGTGATGGCTCGGGTCATGTGACTGGGCGGTTCACAGCACATCACTGTCTGTCAGGCTGCCCACTGGCTGAGCGAAACCAGGGCAGACTCAAGACCGACCTATCAGATGCAGAGGGGAGCAGAGCAAAGCGGAGCATCTTAGTCTTTGGCCAAAGGACCAAAAAGTCCCGGTACCATGGCAGGTAAGCCTCATGTCAACAGTGGCTAAGGCTGTTGTATGAGGTCAGACTCAGGAGACATAGTGGTGTATTGATCTGCTACTGTAGCCCCCGTTCTCACCAGTGTCTCTCGTTCTCTATTGTCAGGATTGGCCGTCCCCCTAAGTACAGAAAAATCCAGCAGAGAACATACCAGAGTGAGTCTCACAGCTTTAAGCTTTGTACATTTACAGTGAGGGAAAAAAGTATTTGATTCCCTGCTGATTTTGTACGTTTGCCCACTGACAAAGAAATGATCAGTCTATAATTTTTATGGTAGGTTTATTTGAACAGTGAGAGACAGAATAACAAAAAATAAATCCAGAGAAACGCATGTCAAAAATGTTCTAAATTGATTTGCATTTTAATGAGGGAAATAAGTATTTGACCCCCTCTCAATCAGAAAGATTTCTGGCTCCCAGGTGTCTTTTATGCAGGTAACGAGCTGAGATTAGGAACACACTCTTAAAGGGAGTGCTCCTAATCTCAGCTTGTTACCTGTATAAAAGACACCTGTCCACAGAAGCAATCAATCAATCAGATTCCAAACTCTCCACCATGGCCAAAACCAAAGAGCTCTCCAAGGATGTCAGGGACAAGATTGTAGACCTACACAAGGCTGGAATGGGCTACAAGACCATCGCCAAGCAGCTTGGTGAGAAGGTGACAACAGTTGGTGCAATTATTCGCAAATGGAAGAAACACAAAAGAACTGTCAATCTCCCTCGGCCTGGGGCTCCATGCAAGATCTCACCTCGTGGAGTTGCAATGATCATGAGAACGGTGAGGAATCAGACCAGAACTACACGGGAGGATCTTGTCAATGATCTCAAGGCAGCTGGGACCATAGTCACCAAGAAAACAATTGGTAACACACTACGCCGTGAAGGACTGAAATCCTGCAGCGCCCACAAGGTCCCCCTGCTCAAGAAAGCACATATACATGCCCGTCTAAAGTTTGCCAATGAACATCTGAATGATTCAGAGGAGAACTGGGTAAAAGTGTTGTGGTCAGATGAGACCAAAATGGAGCTCTTTGGCATCAACTCAACTCACTGTGTTTGGAGGAGGAGGAATGCTGCCTATGACACCAAGAACACCATCCCCACCGTCAAACATGGAGGTGGAAACATTATGCTTTGGGGGTGTTTTTCTGCTAAAGGGACAGGACAACTTCACCGCATCAAAGGGACGATGGACGGGGCCATGTACCGTCAAATCTTGGGTGAGAACCTACTTCCCTCAGCCAGGGCATTGAAAATGGGTCGTGGATGGGTATTCCAGCATGACAAAAACACACGGCCAAGGCAACAAAGGAGTGGCTCAAGAAGAAGCACATTAAGGTCCTGGAGTGGCCTAGACCTTAATCCCATAGAAAATCTGTGGAGGGAGCAGAAGGTTCGAGTTGCCAAACGTCAGCCTCGAAACCTTAATGACTTGGAGAAGATCTGCAAAGAGGAGTGAGACAAAATCCCTCCTGAGATGTGTGCAAACCTGGTGGCCAACTGCAAGAAACGTCTGACCTCTGTGATTGGCAACAAGGGTTTTGCCACCAAGTACTAAGTCATGTTTTGCAGAGGGGTCAAATACTTATTTCCCTCATTAAAATGCAAATCAATTTATAACATTTTTTACATGCGTTTTTCTGGATTATTTTGTTGTTATTCTGTCTCTCACTGTTCAAATAAACCTACCATTAAAATTATACACTGATCATGTCTTTGTCAGTGGGCAAACGTACAAAATCAGCAGGGGATCAAATATTTTTTTCCCTCACTGTATGTCTATGGTCGCACTTTGATTCTCTAAGGCAGCTATGAGTTTACTGCATCCATACAGTATGTTTACATGCATTAATATGTGTGTGTGTGTTTTCCCTGTGCTGCAGCGATGGCCACAGAGGGTATGTGCCCGTCTCTGTTCATGTCTGCTTTGTCAGCCCACCCGGACCGAACCCTGTCTCTGTGCTGGGAGCAACACTGCAAACTGCTGCCTGGCGTCCAGGGCATCCATGCGACACAGGTGGCAGCATGGACCGTGGAGGAGGTGAGAGCTGTACTGCTCGGCCCTATTTATCTTTGGCTGCAAACGGTGGACCAGAGTACATCAGTCACTCTTCTTTGTGTTCTGTGTAACAGGTCTTTGGATTTGTCCAGAATCTGACTGGTTGTGAAGAGCAAGCCTGTGTCTTCAAAGAGGAAGTGAGTACAATGTTAATTGATAAGTTAAAGGTCCAATGCAACCATTTCTATCTTAATATCAAATCCTTTCTGGATAAGAATTAAGTACCTTGCTGTGCTTGTTTTCAATTAAAATGGTCAAAAAGAAACAAAAATATCTTCTTAGACAAATGCAATTTCTCAAGCAAGAATTTTGCTAGGACTGTCCAAGAGAGGGGCCTAATTGGAGGAGCCTAATGGGAGGGATGTGTAACCTGAAAACTAGCTGTTATTGGCAGAGAGGAGGGCAAACTCTCTTTGTTATTGGTCTATCAACTGCAATTGATTTTGTTAGTCATTCTCACTCAGATATATTAACATGGCATAAGTCATTATAAAATGTGTAGAATTGCAGGAAATTAGCTTTAAAACTGCAAAAAAATCTCTCCACCCCATGGCAAAATGTGTAGAATTGCAGGAAATGTGTTGTAAAATTGCAACGTTTTCTCTCCGCCCCATGGCAAAAAAAATTGAATTGCAGGAAATGAACTGATCAATTTAAAATGTTCTCTCCACCATCAAGAGGGGGCGCCTTTACATTTTTTTGCGAGTTTGTGGGGGGCGGGGGGCCCAACCAAATCTTGCTTAGGGCCTCCAAAAGTCCTCTATTGTTATTTTTGTTTGTATGATTTACTTTTTTTAAATACCTGCTTCTTGTATATTTCTTCTTAGATGATTGACGGAGAGGCCTTCCTATTACTGACACAGACTGACATCGTCAAAATCATGAGCATCAAGCTCGGTCCAGCCCTCAAGATCTCTAACGCCATTTTAATGTTCAAGAGTACTGACGAAGGCCTCAAGTGATCCCACCCCCACTTGGCCAGATATTCAGTGACCAATCATCATGTGCCAAATTCATCCAGAATCCTACCCCTGTTATGTGTTTGGTGTTCAGTACCCATCAGAGAGAGAGAGAACAGTAGAGGGGAGTGAGCGATGAGAGAGAGTGGAGTTAGAGGGGGAAAGAGATGGGGGGACAGAACTGAGAGACGAAGAAAACAGGGAAAAGTATAATTGAAGTTTTCTATAAGGTTGCTTCACTGCTCATGCAATAAAAGGAGTCAAATCAGATGGATTCTTACCTGAAAGTGTAAGGAGCGTCGAAATATATACTTATTTTCATTTATGCAAAATATATGGAATTATTTATGTGGGATTTAGTTAGATGAAATTATGGTATTTTACTGCCATGCTTTTTCACATATTTGACATCCAGGGGGATTTTATTCTGCTGTTCCTATAGTTGGTCCATGATAGAGCAAATGGTCAGTTTTGAATACCAGAAACGGTTTCAAGTTTCTCAAGCACTTACAGATATTATGTGACATGGTCAATATCATGTTTCAAAATATGAAATTTGTTTGGAACATTTCAAAAAGGTTACATTTTCAGTCAGAAATATCAAGATATCTGGGGATTTATTGTTTTATGTCGGTTTTATATTTTATGTAGAATTATGCACTGTATTTAAATAGAATGTTACAAGGGCTTCAGGATTCTTAGAACTATATTTCTCTCTGGTGGGCAAACTGTGTCAAGATATTCTTGGGTCAAAATCATTCATTCCATATGAACAAATAAATGTCCAGTTCAATCTCGTACTTGTCTAGACTTCAGTTGACTCAATTCAACTAATTCAAAATACTTGATCATTATATCATCTATTGTGCTTGTGTAAAGAGATGTATAAATCATTGGTATCACTGTGTTGGTATTATTTTACATACAGTGGGGAAAAAAAGTATTTAGTCAGCCACCAATTGTGCAAGTTCTCCCACTTAAAAAGATGAGAGAGGCCTGTAATTTTCATCATAGGTACACGTCAACTATGACAGACAAATTGAGGAAAAAAAATCCAGAAAATCACATTGTAGGATTTTTAATGAATTTATTTGCAAATTATGGTGGAAAATAAGTATTTGGTCACCTACAAACAAGCAAGGTTTCTGGCTCTCACAGACCTGTAACTTCTTCTTTAAGAGGCTCCTCTGTCCTCCACTCATTACCTGTATTAATGGCACCTGTTTGAACTTTTTATCAGTATAAAAGACACCTGTCCACAACCTCAAACAGTCACACTCCAAACTCCACTATGGCCAAGACCAAAGAGCTGTCAAAGGACACCAGAAACAAAATTGTAGACCTGCACCAGGCTGGGAAGACTGAATCTGCAATAGGTAAGCAGCTTGGTTTGAAGAAATCAACTGTGGGAGCAATTATTAGGAAATGGAAGACATACAAGACCACTGATAATCTCCCTCGATCTGGGGCTCCACGCAAGATCTCACCCCGTGGGGTCAAAATGATCACAAGAACGGTGAGCAAAAATCCCAGAACCACACGGGGGGACCTAGTGAATGACCTGCAGAGAGCTGGGACCAAAGTAACAAAGCCTACCATCAGTAACACACTACGCCGCCAGGGACTCAAATTCTGCAGTGCCAGACGTGTCCCCCTGCTTAAGCCAGTACATGTCCAGGCCCGTCTGAAGTTTGCTAGAGTGCATTTGGATGATCCAGAAGAGGATTGGGAGAATGTCATATGGTCAGATGAAACCAAAATATAACTTTTTGGTAAAAACTCAACTCGTCGTGTTTGGAGGACAAAGAATGCTGAGTTGCATCCAAAGAACACCATACCTACTGTGAAGCATGGGGGTGGAAACATCATGCTTTGGGGCTGTTTTTCTGCAAAGGGACCAGGACGACTGATCTGTGTAAAGGAAAGAATGAATGGGGCCATGTATCATGAGATTTTGAGTGAAAACCTCCTTCCATCAGCAAGGGCATTGAAGATGAAACGTGGCTGGGTCTTTCAGCATGACAATGATCCCAAACACACCGCCCGGGCAACGAAGGAGTGGCATCGTAAGAAGCATTTCAAGGTCCTGAAGTGGCCTAGCCAGTCTCCAGGAGGGAGTTGAAAGTCCGTGTTGCCCAGCGACAGCCCCAAAACATCACTGCTCTAGAGGAGATCTGCATGGAGGAATGGGCCAAAATACCAGCAACAGTGTGTTAAAACTTTGTGAAGACTTACAGAAAACGTTTGACCTGTGTCATTGCCAACAAAGGGTATATAACAAAGTATTGAGAAACTTTTTTTATTGACCAAGTACTTATTTTCCACCATAATTTGCATATAAATTCAAAAAAAATCCTACAATGTGATTTTCTGGATTTTTTTTCCTCATTTTGTCTGTCATAGTTGACGTGTACCTATGATGAAAATTACAGGCCTCTCTCATCTTTTTAAGTGGGAGAACTTGCACAATTGGTGGCTGACTAAATACTTTTTTCCCCCACTGTATGGGTGGCCCCAAGAATGGAACCCACAACCCTGGCAGGGCCAGCACCATGCTCTATCAACTGAGCCATACTCTGACTTAATGTCACATGGTATACCAGGTAATATCATGGTATCAAAACGTCATGATAGGTTACTTATGATACAAACATTTTTGAATAATGTACAGTCTCATATGATACTACCAAATGTTTTCGGCCCTACCGATCTAAAGAGCCCGCTGACGCCTGCTATAAAATGATTATAAAGTCCGTTTTATTCTTTACCCTCTAAAAGTCGAAGCCTTGGTGGCATAAAATGCATTGAATAACACATTCATAAATGGCAAAAAAAAGAAATCATAAGGAATAAGGTTTTGAAGTGTCTGTTCTATATCTACATAGGAGATATAAGAAGGTCTGGAACTTTTTTGTTTTTTGGAAACATATTTAAGGCCTTTTTTGTTGGCACAAAACTACCTCCATGCTAACATTAATTTGTATGGATTTCTCTTCAGACAAGTCCCGTGACAAGGGGAACACCATCTTGTTCGTGGGAATCCCCCCTTTCCATTGTGGGGTCATATTAGTTTGACTCAGAACCTGATGAGCAGTTTGACTCAGAACCTGCAGTATCCTCAGTCATATCTGCGGTACAGGCGGGTTTTGGGTCATTAAATATTGTGTGGATGAAGGGAGGACGGGTTGAATAATATGGAAGAGTATTAGGGCCAAGTGAAGAGAAAAAATAAATAAACATACACCTTAGACAAATACATTTTTTAATCCTAGTAAATATTCCCTGTTTTACGTCAGTTAGGATCACCACTTTATTTTAAGAATGTGAAATGTCAGAATAATAGTAGAGAGAATGATTTATTTTAGCTTTTATATCTTTCATCACATTCCCAGTGGGTCAGAAGTTTACATACCCTCAATTAGTATTTGGTAGCATTGCCTTTAAATTGTTTAACTTGGGTCAAACATTTCGGGTAGCCTTCCACAAGCTTCCCACAATAAGTTGGGTGAATTTTGGCCCATTCCTCCTGACAGAGCTTGTGTAACTGAGTCAGGTTTGTAGGCCTCCTTGCTCGCACACGCTTTTTCAGTTCTACCCACACATTTTCTATAGGATTGAGGTCAGGGCTTTGTGATGCCCACTCCAATACCTTGACTTTGTTGTCCTTAAGCCATTTTACCACAACTTTGGAAGTATGGTTGGGGTCATTGTCCATTTGGAAGACCCATTTGCGACCAAGCTTTAACTTCCTGACTGATGTCTTTAGATGTTGCTTCAATATATCCAGATAATTTTCCTTCCTCATGATGCCATATATTTTGTGAAGTGCACCAGTCCCTCCTGCAGCAAAGCACCCCCACAGCATGATGCTGCCACCCCCGTGCTTCACGGTTGGGATGGTGTTCTTCGGCTTGTAAGCCTTCCCCTTTTTCCTCCAAACATAACGATGGTCATTATGGCCAAACAGTTCTTTTTTGTTTCATCAGACCAGAGGACATTTCTCCAAAAAGTACAATCTTTGTCCCCATGTGCAGTTGCAAACCACAGTCTGGCTTTTTTATGGCTGTTTTGGAGCAGTGGCTTCTTCCTTGCTGAGCGGCCTTTCAGGTTATGTCGATATAGGACTTGTTTTACTGTGGATATAGATACTTTTGTACCTGTTTCCTCCAGCATCTTCACAAAGTTATTTGCTGTTGTTCTGGGATTGATTTGCACTTTTTGCACCAAAGTACGTTCTTCTCTAGGAGACTTCCTGAGCGGTATGACGGCTGTGTGGTCCCATGGTGTTTATACGTACTATTGTTGGTACAGATAAACGTGGTACCTTCAGGCATCTGGAAATTGCTCCCAAGGATGAACCAGACTTGTGGAGGTCTACAAAAAAAAATTTTTTTTTTCTGAGGTCTTGGCTGTTTTCTTTTGATTTTCCCATGATGTCAAGCAAAGAGGCACTGAGTTTGAAGGTAGGCCTTGAAATACATCCACAGGTACACCTCCAATTGACTCAAATGATGTAAATTAGCCTATCAGAAGCTTCTAAAGCCATAACATTATTTTCCAAGCTGTTTAAAGGCACAGTCAACTTAGTGTATGTAAACTTCTGACCCACAGGAATTGTGATACAGAGAATTATAAGTGAAATAATCTGTCTGTAAACAATTGTTGGAAAAACTACTTGTGTCACATACAAAGTAGATGTCCTAACCGACTTGCCAAAACTATAGTTTGTTAACAAGAAATTTGTGGAGTGGTTGAAAAACGAGTTTTAATGACTCCAACCTAAGTGTATGTAAACTTCCGACTTCAACTGTATGTTCCTAGCGGCCAACATTGCAGTAATATCTAACAATACAAAACAATACACGCAAATCTAAAAAGCTAAATAATGGAATAAAAATATATAGAAATATTAGAATGAGCAATGTCAGAGTCCGGAATGTAAATATACACTACCAGTCAAAAGTTTGGACACACCTACTCAATCAAGTTTTTTTTACATTGTAGAATAATAGCGAAGACATCAAAACTATGAAATAACACATATGGAATCATGTAGTAACCAAAAAAGTGTTAAACAAATCAAAATATATTTATATTTGAGATTCTTCAAATAGCCACCCTTTGCCTTGATGACAGCTTTGCACACTCTTGGCATTCTCTCAACCAGCTTCATGAGGTAATCAACTGGAATGCATTCAAATTAACAGGTGTGCCTGCTTAAAAGTTAATTTGTAGAATGTATTTCCTTCTTAATGTGTTTGAGCCAATCAGTTGTGTTGTGACAAGGTAGGGTGGGTATAGCCCTATCTGGTAAAAAACAAGTCCAAATTATGGCAAGAACAGCTCAAATAAGCAAAAGGGAAACGACAGTACATAATTACTTTAAGACATGAAGGTCAGTAAATATGGAAAAATGTCAAGCACTATGACAAAACTGGCTCTCACAAGGACCGCCACAGAAATGGAAGACCCAGAGTTACCTCTGCTGCAGAGGATAAGTTCATTAGAGTTACCAGCCTCAGAAATTGCAGCCCAAAGAAATGCTTCACAGAGTTCAAGTAACAGACACATCTTTTACATTTTTACATTTACATCATTTAGCAGACACTCTTATCCAGAGCGACTTACAAATCTTGACATCAACTGTTCAGAGGGGACTGTGTGAATCAGGCCTTCATGGTTGAATTGCTGCAAAGAAACCACTACTAAAGGACACCAATACGAAGAAGAGACCTGCTTGGGCCAAGAAACACAAGCAATGGACATTAGACTGGTGGAAATGTGTCCTTTTGTCTGC